GTGTAATAATTCATCTGTAAACCTAAAAATGTACAGCCAATTTTGAAAGAGATGTACCCTAGCTCAGAAAAAATGTTACTGAATAGGTTAATGCTGTTGTACTGAAATGCTTCTTCTAATTAAAAAAAAAAAAAGTAAATGACAGGACTAGAGGAACTGACTCAGCAGTTAAGAGCATGGGCTGCTCTAGCAGAGGACCCAGGTTCAGTTCCCAGCACCTACATGGGGGCTAACAACCATCTGTAACTCCCTTTCCAAAGGATCTGCCCCCTGAAGGGCATTGTACAACATGGGTAAACTTAGATGCCTGCAGGCAATACAGTTGTACACATAAAATGAAACTAATAAAATATTTTTTTAATGAAAAAAAAAAGACCATTCACTATGACCAACTAGGCTTTATCCTGAGGATGCAAGGGTGGTACAACTATACAAATCAACAAATTCAGTACACTAATAAATACAAAGAGAGAAATCTCATGATCATCTCAATAGATGAGCAAAGGATTTTGGCGAAGTCCAACATTGTTTTATACCAAAAGCCCTAAAGAATCTAGGAATAGAAGGAATATACCTCAACATAATAAAGGCTATTTATGACACATCTATAGCTGACATTAAACTGCTAGGGGAAAAGAGAAGGAAATAGGAAGGATACAGATAGAAAAGGGAGAAAATCATTCCTATTTGGAGATGATAACAAATCCTAGAGATGCTACCAGAAAGCTCTTAGAATTGATGAACACGGTCATTAAAGTAGCAAGCTACAAAATATCAATAATGAACACATGGAGAAAGAAATCAGGAAAATAATCTCATTCACTGTAGCTTCCAAAAAATTTAAAATACCTAGGAATAAATCTAACCAAGGAAGTGAAAAAATTGTACAATGAAAATATGAAGACACTGAAGGAAGGAATAGAAGAAAACACTAGAAGGTGGAAAAGCCTTCTGCTCTAGTTCGTCTTTAAACCAACCTGGGGAGGAAAGGGTTTATTTGGCTATTTGTAGAACAATGAAGTTCTCTCTCTCTCTCTCTCTCTCTCTCTCTCTCTCTCTCTCTCTCTCTCTCTCTCTCCTCTGTCTCTCTTGTATACCCTGTATAAAAACCATTTAAAAATGGATTAAAGATTTTAATGTAAGACCTGAAATTCAGGAAATGTTAAAACCAAACATTGTGAAGATACTCCAAGATATAGGCATAAGCGAGGACCTTCTGAAAAGGACTTCAACAGTTCAAGAAATAAAGCTAGGAATAGAGAATTTGAATTGTATGAAATAAAAAAGCTTCAGAAGAGTTAAGTGAACAATTAATAGAGTGATTAGACAAGCCTACAGTATAGGGGAGAATCCAGTTATATGTCTCACAGAGGATTAATATCTAGAATTTATAAAGGGCTAGATAAATACCAATCCCCCAAATAACTCACAATAAATGGGCTAATGAAATGAACAGATGGGTCTCAGAAGATAATTTGCAATATTGATAGATAGCAAAATAGTGTGTTTATGTACACAGAGATAAGGTATCTGAGTTGTTAGGTAATATGTATTTTCAAAAGATGATCATCATACATGAAAAATGTTCAAGAACTTTAGTAATCAGGGAAATTAAAAGTAAACTACATAAAGATTCCATCTCATCCAAGTCAGAATGACTATTAACACAATAAATGCTGGTAAAGATTTGGTAAAGGGAAAAATGAACCCTTACACATGCTGATGGGCAGATAAATTGGTCTAGCCACCATGGAAATCAAATCAATATGGTATTTTCTTGAACACTTGAAATTAGAACTCTCCATGTTATACACCTATAATACTTCTTAGAATATACCCAAAGGATTCTAAGCCAACATACCACAGAGACACCTATACGTTCATGTTTATTGAGCACCATTATTTACAGTAGTCAAATTATGGAATCAGCTTAGGTAGGTGTCTTTCAACTGATGAATGGATGAAAAGAAAGTGGTATATATACACACTGGAGTTTATTCAGCCATTAAGAAAAAAAATTATATCATTTCCTGAACAATAAATGGAACTGGAGATCACCATATTAAGTGATGTAAATCAGATGCAGAAAGACAAATTTCACATTTTCTGTCTTTTAGGTCCTAGAACTCTTTATAGGTACAAAAACCATTGACACAAAAGCAGACAGGTGGTCAGGGAAGGGAGTTCACTAACAGGAGGGGATAGGGAGGAAGAGGACTGAAGGGAGGTCAGGATACACTTGACACATTTGTCTGTATAAAACCAAACACTTTGCACAACAAATACACTACAATTAAAATACTGAAAAATGCCTATTGCTGTTGGATGAAATATTCTGAAAATGCCTATTAAATCCATATTTTCCCTTTAATTAAGTATTTTTAAAAATTTCTGGATGACCTGTCTACCAAGGAAAGTGGGATGCTAAAATCCCCAAGTATTAATGTATTAGAACCCATCTCGCCCTTTAAAAAGGACTATTTATTTATTATTTTAACTTTCAAGACTATGATTTTTATCTCTAGAATTTCAATTAGATGTTTTACATTTTCTGCAGGGCACAGGTGAAGGTACACTGGAGGTATAGAAGAATAATAATAAAATGATGGACAACCTCTTTGTGTCTGGGAATGGGAATGGTCCGGTGTCAAGACCTGGGAGCCCAGGACCAGGTGTGGAGTCAAGACCATAGCTGGTTATCAAGGGTGGTGGGAAGTCCATTTTGAGAATCAGTCCTCACAAGATTAGAATTAGCAAATGACAGAAACCTCCCCAGTCCCCAGCATAAGCCCAACACAAAGTCAAAGCCATTTCCATGCATAACCTGGGACTTCAGGGGAGGGGTTTGTAAGGAGTGCAGCCTTCAGAGAAGGCTGAAACCACTGCCTAACAATGGGAAGTCCTCCATCCTCCAATCTGCTTCACCATCAGCCTACCACCAGAAGAATGTGAAAATATGGCTCACTGGAGGGAACCACAGCTTCATTTTCATGGGAAGGGACCACAGCTGCAGGCTCATGGGAGACAACAATAGCTCTAGGTTCTTGGGAGGGGACCACAGCTCCAAGTTCAGGTTCACAGTAGGCAACTGCAGTTCCAGGATCATGGGATTGGTCATAATTTCAATTACACTGGCTCCTACCATTTTTCTGTATCCATGACTCTGCCCACATGACTATTACTTGTTTTTAAGAAGGAACATTTTTGTTTTCTGTGCAACAAATTGAGGCGACAGTTACTTGCTGGCTTAAATTTATCACTAGAGAGACATCAGTATTGGAGGAAATCACTTTTTGCTTTTGCTCAAGGAGACAGATGGATTGAGTGTTTTGTTTTTCATTGTCAAGGATCTGGTTGGCTTTTTTGGCGTCTGCTGATTTTACATCTTCCTCATGGTCAGGAGGAAGAAGTGATGAGATATCTTATTGGAGTTCATTTTAAGTCCTCTGACTGAAACATGAAGGTTATTTCCCATTTAAAACTCCCCACATTCTCTGGGCGTGGTGGCACCCAACTTTAGTCCAAGCACTTGGGAGGCAGAGGCAGGTGAGGCCAGCCTGGTCTATGTAGTGAATTCCAGGCTAGCTGGGGCTACAGGGAGACCCCTGTTTCAAAAAGACCCCCAAAACAAAACAAAACAAAACAAAACTCCCCAACTTCACCATGCCTTGGGCCAGGCCCTTGGGGAGCACATAGCTAGTTCCAAGGGGGCATGAAACCCCCCTCACCATCTTAACTGTCATCATCATTGCTGTCTGCCACCTTGGGCTATTTACTCCACGCCTTTCATACCACAGTGAAAGCTCCATGTCGCTGCCATCTTGGCTCAGTTATTTTCTTTCTTCTTTGCCAAGTTCTGAGATAAGAATTTTTTCTTTAATTTTTAATAACTACATGATTAGAAGAAGCATTTCATTACAGCTTTAACATATTCAGTAACACACTC